CGCATTAGGCAAGCCAAGCGGAGCCAAGCTACGTGCAAGGTTGTTAGGAAACGGATCGACCGGGGCAAGCGCATCTTGGCATATGACCGACACACGCCGAGCAGCGGAAGCAAAGAAGATCGCTCTCTTCCCAGCCAACTCTTTGGCGCCATCAGCATCAGCCGCGCACAGTTCAATGTGTGTACTGGCCTGGAAATCCAGGGCCAACTCAAGCCAGGTGACATGCTCACCACGGCGAGCGTTCAAGTCTCCAGTTTGTGGCCATTTTAACTGCCGAAAATACCATATCAGGGGTGCAAACAGGCGTTCAGGATATCTCCATCGCAGGTCTCTGGCGCCAGCTTTTTGTTGGCCGCGTTCCTGGTCATCAGGTATTTTGCCCCAGAAGCAGGTGTGATGCACACCTTCCGACGCACGCCATGCAAAGCCCGGGAATGCCGCCTGCTGGGCGGCCATGGCAGGGTCAGCATCATCAGGGGGGTTTTCCTGTTGTGCGGGGGGTTTAGGGGGCTTAACAACCTTACCTAAACCCTGGGTCTTAATGGCGGCATCCCGCGCAAGGTGCAAGCGAACCAAGGTGTGCTGCAAACAGCGGATGCGCTGAGCCTCATGTTGGTGATGTTTCACAAGGTCCGACGGGAGCTGATTACCTACCGCACCTGCAACCGCCAACTTGTCTGCAGCATCGTTGTAGCGCTTGTGCAGCAAGAGTTGTGCATCTCCTTGACACTGAGCTACCGTACTGTGACCTGTGACCTTAGTCACTTTGAGGCGGTATTGAGGACTGTGACGCTCCCAATCTTTCTGGATTCGCTGCCAGAGGTCAAGATGGCATGACATCCTATGCTCACCAAACGCAGCAAGGTTGCTGAAGCCAAGGAGCACGGTTTTATTATCTGTTAGAAGTTCCTGGTTCCCCCACACCCAGTGAATCCATCGAGCAGCTGCCCGGATTTCGGCCCGAGTGGAGGTTTGACAAGCAGTGGCAGGAGCAAAACTGCAGTTAAGTGGATGATTATCACCGTAAAACAACCCACAACCTGCACGGCGCAGTCGAGATTCCTGCTGCTGATTGGGACAGGCACCATCAGACGCCACAAGGGTGAATCCATCACGGACAAGGGTGCCCTGGGCACACTGTGTGTCAGGCAGTGGACGGGCGGTCTCAGGGGGCTCGTCTGTCGGTGGCATAGGCAGTGCATTGAGCTGCGAACTTTCCGGAAGGATACCGCAGCACGCTTCACACATTATGGCAGGGACTCCGTATTTCTTGACGTAGGGAGCGCGGAATTTCTCCCAGGCAGGACACTGCCAGTTGATGTGCATCATGGTTTCATCGCCAGTTTCGCAGAAGGGACACGTGGGATGAGCTACCTGCTCCATCCTCCACCGCCGCCGCCAAGTGAAAATGGAGTCGGTAAGGAGCTGTCGCAAGATAGCCCGCGCTGCACCCTTGATTTTGAGTTTGAGGAAAGGGGCAAACTCATCATCTTCTTCCGGTGCCATTTCCGCACCATCATCTGGGTCATGACATGCGGACGTTTGGGCCTTCAACAGAGCAGTAGTGGCATGAATGTTCACGCCAGCCTCTGCTCCATCAAATGACTCACGCCATGTGGACTGTTTGCTTCCCTTACGCCTAGCTTCTTCGCACCAACGCATTTGGCGAGTAGCGTTGCGCAGGGTATGCTTCCACCAGTCATCCTCCTGGGTGAGCCAAGAGAAGGACGAGCCGTTGGCCATCCGAAAGGTGAAGGGATCATCATTCCATGTCCACTGCATTTTGTCCACTAGGCACTGGATGCGATCCAAGGGAAAGACACCTTTGTGGCCGGGACATTGGCCTTGTTGCTGTTTGAGATACCACGCTTTGGCCATGAGATCCTGCAAGTCGGGCCGTCTACGCAGGACACGTCGCAAGGTTGCCAAAGGGTAGTACACAAGGTTTTGCACAGGATCCGTGCGGGGCCCCTGACCTAAGCAAACCATCGTTGCAGCCACGTGCCTAAAGCGTCGACGCGCGCCAAACAGAGCATACATGTGTGCCTTGGAGAGCTTGGCAGCTTGCCCGCAGGTGGGATGTGCCAATTCTGTTCCAAAACCAAACTGCACAGCACTAGTGCATCCTAAAGCCATCACTTTGGCATCGAGAGGCAAGGGCAGGTCACCTATCATAAAGCATGAGGCAGCGGCTTTTTCAAGCTTAGGGTTGAAGTACGCTGTGGCTTCACACTTTCTTGTGTGCAACAATCCGCCCACTATGACCAGTTGGCTACGCACTTCAACATCGTATCCCTCTTGTTGGAGCACCTGAGACAACGCAGCACGCTGGGCACAGGTGAGCGCCAACCCTTTGGTTTTGGAGAGATTCAGTTGGCACCCACTCAAGCGATCAAACTCAGAGGAAACTTTGAAGCCTCGAGTGAGCCGGTCGAGCCACTGGGCAGGCGCACGCTCACCAGCAACATCGCCGCAGGAGTCACCCGCGCGGAAATTGCTGTCATCGATGAAACTGCTCACAACGACACCGGTTTCAGCTACAGCCCTGGTCCAGACTGACATAACTGCCAATGCCACCTGTATACTAAAACTGTCACCTTGCACATAGCTGTTGCAGCGGGTTGATGTTTCGGAAAAGGCTGCCCCAACTTTGAAACGATTTGTCATTTTGGCAAGAAAACGCTTTTCTGCATTTATAATGGCAGCAGGAGCACCGAGAGCGATCATCAACCCTTCACAGATTTCCCACTCAAGCAGGTCAAAAAACTTTTTTCTATCCATAGATATAATTCCAAAAGACTCACCCCGTCGGGCGTGGAGCTCCATCTCAAGGGCAATCTGAAGACTCACATCATGGACCTCTTTGTTTTTCCTAGCACCACACATGGAGTCGGGCATCCATGCTTCACGCCAAGAACTCATATCTTGAAAACGTACACTACTGTACAATGTTTTCCAAGGAGATAAATTGGTAATTGGGCGGGTATCAAGGGCTTCTTGAGTGACTATTTCACAAGGCTCGCAATTTTCACCGTTTTCGTCGGCACCTTTCCGGATGCAAGAGACCGTGCCAAGTGTAAGAACTTCCGGCCAGTCATCTCCAGCCTCGATGTCACGGTAAAGCGAGGCAGCTATGTTTAGCAATGAGATGGGAAGGTCCTTCATCTCAACTGCACGTGTGCCACATGAAGCTACAGCTCGCGTAGAGGACATTTTCTTTAAACACTGCTGGAGTCGCACACCGGTGAGGTCTGGTACCTCACATTTGTGGCATGGTATGTGACTGGCATAACGCTCTCGGAATGCGGACCACTCACAATGACACTCCTTGTTCCAAAGGGTGCCCCAAGCATCACTCAAGGTTTGCAAGATATGTTCTACGTTAGTAGCAACTTGGCCTGATGCATCTCTGATGGATTGAAGCGGTGCAGGCTTGGCTTCATGCAGCGCTTGAAAGACAGCTCGTCCTCCCGTAGCATAGCTGCGTCTCAGCTTGGTGCGGAAATCCTGAGCACGCGCGCATGCATTCTCTCGCTCAGTATCGAGACGGTGAGTGTCAAGAATCTCATGCAAGAAGTGCAGAAGGGGAGCATCTGGCATAGGGGAATTCCAAAAAGGGAAAATTGCAGACTTTAGCAGTTTGCAAGAGTCATAAGCAACTTGTTTCCACAGTTTTTGGCAGTCCATTTGGTGCAGCAGCGATACGTGACCGATCTTGTGGCGCAACTCACGGAGTCGTCGCATGATGCAAGCCAATTTACGCAGATACTTAGTGCCAACACTGTCTGGAGTCTCTCCACCCTGGACATACACAGGCAGGGTAGCGACACGACGGAGTTGCATATCGGGTCTTGTGAGGCGACCTCCACTCCCCCCTTTCGACAGGGAAGAGCCACATCTCAACTCCAGATACTTATCCAAGACCTGACCAAACATGCGCCATTTGGTATCAGATCGGCTACCCTGCAACAGAGCCAAGTCAAAGCCTGTGAAGCGTATGGCTTCCTCTGCAAGAAAATTTTTAAGCTCATCATCCGCAGGGGGCAATTTCTCAATGGGAAAGGGCTTGGGAAGGATGCGTGCAAGGAAATTTTGACGCAAGACGCGCAAATCAAACCTTACTTGCAGGAATAAATGGTTTTTAATTGAAAAATCCCGCCTAACGCAGCACTCAACACAGGCCTGACGCGCTGCACGGTTCAAGAAAACGTAGTCGGGGCGGCTAGACCCTTGACGTTGATGACCATCCCATTTGGGGCTCATCGAGAAGGTGTGATCTGGGCCTTCAGGTCCTGCAAACAAGACCGCGGCATCAAACCACTGCTCTGTTGCCAAAAGGTCTTTAACCGCTTTATGGTCACAAGCATAATTGGCATCAGTGCATACAGCGACAGGGACATCCCCCAAACGCGAGGCTTCCTCAAATGCTGAAAAGAAAAGTCGCCTCTTCTCAGTCACCTGGATGGCATTAGCTGGGTGCGAGACTCCATAAAAGTTAACCACGTGGAACCAGTCATGCCTGCAACGCTGATTGGCATCCAGTTTGTTTAAGGCTATGGCATGCCGCGTCCAGCGTCCGGACTCTTTGAGGAACTTAGTTTCAGGGCACGCTGTTCCACAAGTGTGCAGAGGATACTTGGAAAGTGTAGCAACATAAGTCGCCTCAGTACTTTGAAGAGGAGAGCATCGCACATGACGCTTGGCATGTGATGCACGGCTTTTGGCTTGAATTCGTCTTTGCGGCACAACCTTCCCTAATTCGATGTTCCACCCATGTCGGCGGGCAGTGGCTGCCGCCTTGATCGCACCAGTCTGCGAAACACGGGCTTCCTGCATACACACTACATCAGCAGAGGCCTGCGCAAGAACTGCCTCAGCCCTTTTATGGAAACTTGTGACATTACCAGACAAGATGGTGAACATCATCATTACTGACAACAGGATCCAAAGACATGCGGGGAGGATTGGTGGCAGGGCGCAACATCGCCGAAGCCTGCACTTCACCCTTGCGTGCGCGCCGCCTTGCGCTGGAGGGTGTCCAGCGTAAGCTGCTCAATCTGCTGCTGCATGGTGGCGTGAATGCTAGCCTGATCCTGCTCATACTTCTTCATCAAGCTGTCTTGGATCTGGCCTACCATGGTTGTAACCTGTGCAGTTAGCGCCTGCATCACAGAACTGACAATGGCCTTCTGGAGGGATTCTACCCCAAGAGGCTCCGGCGGGGACGAGGTGTCCATGGCCGTGGAGGCCGGGGTGGGCGTGGGCTGCGAGGCAGCCGGTGCATGCGCGACGGTCGGCGCCTTCTTGATGATGCTGTAAAAGCTCTGCTGCCCTAGCCCAGTGCGCTCCTGAGCCAGCTGGGCAAAGTCCTTTGGCTTCTGAACTTCACTGGCCGCACTCGTGGGCTTGGGGCCATCTTTGGCGTACGGGCGGATGGTGGAAATGCGACCTTGGATTTGCAAGAAGGTGTGGGCAGGCTCCGTGGTTGCCCTCACGAGCGCCTTCTTCCACGGGGACTGCTTGGTGCCACACGTTTTGACACGGACGACCTCCGTATCCCAGTGCACCTCTTTCTGCAAAAGGCTTACCAAGTCCTCTGCAGCAAGGGATCTCGGCAGCTGGTCAATCTCGTACATGGACTTGCCGGGAACTGTACGCGAGGCAATCAACTTCCAGGCAGCATCCTCCGACGACTTGGGAACTCTTGCAATCAGTGAGTGGCCATCCCTTTTGAAGTACAGGCCTTTGTGGCCCGGAAGCTGCTTGAGCTGCTCCAGCGCTGTATCCAAAGGGACAGAGTGAGGGAACGGCACTTTGGATTCTTCAACCTCTTCCTTGTCGTACTGCTCCGTGTTTCCAAAGGAGGTCCTACGGAATGCCACACCATCCACGCCACTGCATTCACGCAGTTTGGCAACAAGGGCATCGCTTGCACGAAAGGTAGCGGTAAAGGTATCGCCTTTGAACAGTGTGTTGAGCTTGGCCCCATACACGCTAACATTGACAGCCTCAGGGCCACCCTTGGCCCGAATCATGGCCGTCATTTCCTCATTGAGGGCTTGCCATGGCTTTTTGCCAAGTTTTTGCTGTTGCTTCTTCCATTCTTCATGCTCACGCGACATGACAACGCTCTTCCACGCCTGAGACAGTCGACCCCACAGCTGGCTAGACGCATGATTGCACGCAACATCGACTGCAACAATCGTGGGCTGGCTGCTGGGTGGTGGACCAATTAACCTCAAGAGGAACGATCAAGGATTTGACCTCCTGAGCGCCGATCTGCCACACGAAACCTGTTTCGACATATGTGCCAACACCTTTCATGACGGGGATGCTGCAAGGCACCGGGTTAATGTGGTGCTGCTGCGCTGCGCTCAAAAGGCTGTTTGAAGGCGTGCCCAAGAAAAGCACTGCCAGCTTCCCTGCAAAGGTGTAGCCGTCAAACAAGCCACCGGTCACAAGCGCCTCAGCATCAGCACTGTTGTTTGCAAGATACACACCTTCAACTCCACGAACCGGCGGGGCAGTGAGGATGGGTGCATTCCAGTGGGCGGCATCAAGCTTACGCTTTGCAGCGAGATTGGCCTCTCGCTTCGCGGCCTTCACTTTGCGACGGCTGAGAACCGGCTGAAACTCTGCTTCTGCTTCATCTGCACGTCCTGCTGGCGGACGTGGAGGCACAAGGCTTGCATCGTTGGACTCGGAAGTAGGGCACTCCTGACGCCATTTCTCTATGGCAGGAAAGATCTCATGACAGGGCATGCTTGCAATCTCATTCATTCGCTTTGCGTTCTTGTGACGCAGTGTGTCGTATGTATGGCTGGCCTTTGGCATCTGCTGAGCTTCAAGCACAGACACAACCTTCACCTTAGTCATGTTCGGCGTGGGAGCCTTCTTGAGCTTCGACCCGGCCCGGATTTTGGCAGGGATGTTTCCATTGGTGATGTGCATCTGGCGTTGCTCCTCCCTTTGATTGCGGAGGCGGAAGTATGCAACTGCCTCTTGAAAGCACTGCATACATGTCCCCATAGCCTTGACGACGCATTCAAACTTCCCCTTGAACAATGCGCCAAGACTCCCTAGCAAGTCACCCCACTTGCTAAACAAAATGGTTTGCGCACACTCCGCGGCATCCGTTGACGCCGTCACCACTGCCATGACACTCACCCACTGTGTCTGAGGGCGGTACGCGTCCTCAGCCAGGTGAGGGCTGAGGTAGTGGCCCACTAATTTTCGGACCTTGCCCACTGATTTTCGGACCTTGCCCACTAATTTTCGGACCTGGCCCACTAAATTTCGGACCTTGCCCACTAATTTTCGGCGCTGGCCCGGGTCCGAAAATTAGTGGGCAAGGTCCGAAAATTAGTGCGCAAGGTCCGAAAAATAGCGGGCAAGGTCCGAAAATCAGTGGGCAAGGTCATTGGTTAGCGGGCAAGGTCCGAAAAACAGTGGGCAAGGTCGTGGGGCAGCCAATGGACCTTGCCCACTGATTTTCGGACCTTGCCCACTGACCTTCGGACCTTGCCCACTGACGTTCGGACCTTGCCCACTGATTTTCGGACCTTGCCCGCTAATTTTCGGACCTTGCCCACAAAGCCATTAAGGTTTATATTATATATGAAAGAGTGGTTTAGGGCAAACCCTCAAAAACCCCCGGTCATGCCTCGCTTTGACTGCTCCACAAGGACGTCAGCCCCCTCCCCAGGCGGGAAAAGAAGCTGCCCGTCTCGAGGTCGGCCTCGGTTGAGGGTTTGGGGTTTAGGGTTTGGGGTTTTGGGTTTGGGGTTTGGGGTTTTGGGTTTGGGGTTTACGGTTTAGGGTTTAGGGTTTGGGGTTTAGGGTTGGGGTTTGCAGGTTTAGGGTTAAGGTTTGGGGTTGAGGGCTTAGGTTTGAGGGTTTAGGGATTCAGGTTTGCGGTTTGGGGTCTGGGCAGCTTCATGGATTTAGGGATGGGATTTGTTCAGGGCTTCGGGCCTTCTGTGCTTATCTTTGGTTTTGCTTTGTTTAGAAGGGGGTTCAGGGTTTAGAGTCTTTAGGGCTCAGGGGACGCTGATGGGCTCAGTCGGACGCAGGACCGCCGTAGGTGCCCAGAAGCTCGTGAGACAGAGCTCCGCAAACATGACCCACGTCCAAGGTGTGCTCTGAGTGGCGCCCAGTGACTGTTAGCGCTCGAACGCCTCGCGATAGTGCTCGCGAATAAGAGCTTCTGCCCAGCAGGATGCGTTCGCGGCCCACGCCGCTTTCGAGGGCCGAAGACCTCCCAAATGCCAGGCAGCGGAGTTGTCCAGGAAGGCCAGCGCACGCTGCGCACGAGTGCAGAGGTTTATAGGGTTTAGGGTTTAGGGTTTAGGGCTGGTTTTAGGCTTTGGGGGTTAGGTTCGTGGTTCAGGCCCGGTGTGCTTGTAGGGGGTTGGGGTCCCAAGCACCAAAAAAACTCAGCGCAGTGCAGGGAAGGGCACATGAGATGAACATCAACAGGCTTTGGGCTGAAAGATGGCCCTGAAGAACGCGACGATTCCCTGAAGGCCTTAGGGTTGAGGGCCTGGGGTGTAGGATTCTCGGCTAATGCGTTTGTGCCGCTATGCCGGCTATGTTTCTGGAGTCTCCTGCTGTAGAAAGCCAACATGCCCCCAAAAACGGGTTTAGGGTTTAGGGTTTAGGGTTTAGGGTTTAGGGTTTAGGGTTTAGGCGGCCGAAGGGGAGGGACGTGCAATGACCCCTCCTCTCTTCCTCTCGGAACTCCTCATGGTCCCCGGCGGCGCCGGTGCCGGGACGCTGGACGAAAGCCTGGATCCAGGGCTTCAGACCGGAATGGCTCTTTAGGGTTTAGGGGGTAGGGTTATAGGGTATAGGGTATAGGGTATAGGGTTTAGGGGTGTTAGGGTCTTAAGGCTTCATGGCTTTAAGGTTTCAGGGTCACCCAAGCCGATATGAAAACTGCTTGGGCGTCAAACAAAGACCCACCCGCCCCCAATACCCGAAATGTGTTCCTGCCCGACCTCGGGTTCGATTTATAGGTATAATACACCCCCTCATAGACCCTATGCAAATGAAGGTCCATACATCAGAACCGTTTAGGGGCCACATTAAGGGCCCATGCAACTACCCTCACCCCAAACCCTAAACCCTAAACCCTAAACCCTAAGATTGCAGGTAGGTCCAAGGGCCCGTTTCTGGGAAGGCTCTTTCTTCGCGCCATGCCCAGGCAAGTTTACCTGCATTGTTCTGGTTTTGCGGGGGGTTTAGGGGGGTTTAGGGTTTAGGGTTTAGGGTTTAGGGTTTAGGGTTGCGGGCTATCTTTTGCGCCTTTTCACGAAAAGTGTTCTCAGCGACGGAGTAGCTCACACAAAACTTGGGCTCGCCCCGTGCGAAGCTGAGCAGCCACAAAAGAGTGAGGGAGGACTTGAACGGCAATTCTAAACTCTAAGCTCGGGGAACCACATGTAGCCGATCACGACCTAGCTGTCTGGTCAACCAGATCCCTTCAGAAATCCATGATGTATTTCTGCAGGGAACTCTGCAACTTCCCCATGTAGTCTCCATTGATGCCATCCAGCCAGCTTGGGTGCTGGAGAGCTTAGGGGGCTGAGGTTGGTTTGAGGGAGTACATTATCAAGCATGTATTTATTCTTTGTACCCCAAGAAGAAACACCCAATACACCACACTCAGCAATTTTTATTTGGAACCGGTTGTGCAATCACCACCGGCAGAGTATAACTAAATCATATGGGGCCATTCGGGGGTTTGCGACAACTTAGAGACCCCTAATATACACCCCCCCCCCCTCCCCAATAGTGGGATCCCCTGATAATCAGGACCCCAATACCCCCGAACATCGTAAACCCCATATTGCCCTAAACCCTAAACCCTAAACCCTAAACCCTAAACCCTAAACCCTAAACCCTAAACCCTAAACCCTAAACCCTAAACCCTAAACCCTAAACCCTAAACCCGAAACCCTACCACTTGGATTTAGGGCTTGGCTGACAGGGGCTCGGGGATTCGGCAGGGAGCGGCCCTCTAGTTCGAGTCGAAGGCTCCGGATCTGGCAGAGCAGCCAGCTGAGGCAGGTCTGGGCAGGGTTTGGTTCTGGTGTGTCGACGTAGTGGCGTCATTGGCTTATGAGCCTTTCAACTGTGGCTTCCAGTCCTGTGACTGTAAGCCCCTAAACCCTAAACCCTAAACCCTAAACCCTAAACCCTAAACCCTAAACCCTAAACCCTAAACCCTAAACCCTAAACCCTAAACCCTAAACCCTAAACCCTAAACCCTAAACCCTAAACCCTAAACCCTAACCCAAATGGGTTTAGGGTTTAGGGTTTGCGGGGGTAGGGTTTAGGGTTGCGTCTAGACAAACCTTGCTCCATTGCTGGGCACCTTGCTAGTTAGAAGGTTGAGGGCTTAGGGGTATATCCTTGGGGGATCAGAGGAACCTCGAAAGATTGATGGTCCACATACCTGAATAGTATTTCCAGTAGCGAATATATAGGATCTATGACCCCAATCTTAGGAAACGCCCAGGGTTTAGGGTTTAGGGTTTAGGGTTTAGGGTTTAGGGTTTAGGGTTTAGGGTTTAGGAAGGCCAGGGTTCCCTGCCCCCTAGGCCCCCATTTACCGGGTTTCGACCCTGGGAGAATGGCGCCTCTCCCAGCACAAGAGACCGCTGCAGTCCATGCACCCGCACGCGACCCTCCTGGAGGTGGATTGGGGTTCAGGGTTTAGGGTTTAGGGTTTAGGGTTTAGGGTTTAGGGTTTAGGGTTTAGGGTTTAGGGTTTAGGGTTTAGGGTTTAGGGTTCTCGAAGGCCAGGGTTCCCTGCCCCCTAGGCCCCCAAACCCCCAAAACCTAACCCCTGAACCCGAAACCCGCTCACGGCTTCACGCTGAAAGCACCTAAAGTCACGACTTGCTAGCCACTAAAGTGGTGTTTCAGTAACCACCATTGTTTGAATTTGCATCACACATCCAATATCCATCTAAATTACTAAAAAATGTACTGAAAGCGACAAGCCATGCCCGGACGTGAACTTGGGGACGACCCTCAGGGTAGGTTCTGATGTATGGGCCCTTGGGTTGTATTTAGCGTTTATGTGGGATACGTAAGGGGTCCCCTTTTAAGGGGC